CTCCCACTTTCATTTTAATCACTACTTAAGAGTTCATATGGATCCAGATAAGCTTAGCTCAAAGATAATTGACATATGTCTTAGACTAAATAATGAGTGAAAAAATAGTACTACCAAAAGATTTTAAAAAATAATAGTAATTAAGTATTTCCATGGATATGCAAAAATATAATTAAGGTTAAATTTTGATGGACATGTTTATTAAATTTTTAAACTCTAGAAATTTTAATTGCATTCATAAACTTTGGAATTGTGATGTTATGTAGCATATGTCTTTAAGACTGCTAACTAAATTATATGACGTATAATTATTTTAGTACAACAAAATGTGGGTGAAGTGACCTTCAACTTCAAAGAATGCAACTATATTTTATTCTACTTAACTATATTTTTTTTATAACATTTATTACATGATGTTATTTGACTTATTAAATTAATAATAGGTTCCTTCCCAAAAAAAAATATAATAATAATAATAATTTCTACCATCAATAAGTTGTGTGCTCCCTCTTGGACCAAATTAATTTTTGACACAATGAGGTTTATTATTATTATTATTATTTTATTTTGACACGATGGTATTAATTACACTTTCACATATGGGCATTACCTAATTACCTTGATTTATTGACAAAATTTTCAAAAAGTCAAACGTAAACCATATATGAAGTTAATAATAAAGCCTTCATAATAATTTCAACCATTTTAAATAGATTTTGAAACCATACATTTTTTTTTGACACTAGATATGGAAAAAACATATATTATTTTGAGAAAAAAAATACCCTTTTGGTCATGAGTTTTCAACCAAGTTTGTTTGGTTCCTACATTATTTCAAAATTGTGTATGGTTGCCATAAATTTTCATAAATAATGTAAGACTTTAAAATAGAAATCACTCCATTTTTTTAACCATTCTTTTAGCATAAATGAAAATAACTTTCGTCACATTCTAATTTATAGCATGAATCGATTCATATAACTTTAAAAAAATCGTGAAAATAAGTTGTTTTAGTGTCTATTGATCGATTTTGTTATTGGCATCTAATTCTCACTCTCAAATTGGTTAGACTTTTAACAAACTTCTAAGATTTTAATAGGTTGATTATGACCAAAATCAAACCAATAAATTTTTTCTTTAAAAAAGACAAATCAAATGAATAGTTGGGAAGCTAAAATTGCCATATGTTTAATTATACTTTTTGAAGTAGTCTACTTTTATTACCAAACTCACCCTTTATAAAATGCCTAATATAATTGGTTTGATTTAATTAGTTTTTAAAAACTTATTACAATTATTGAAAGGAGCAATATGCTTTCTCTCCCATGTTGACTTACCAAAGGAAATTTGCAAATTTTTGGGGGACAATTGCTCACATTGCATGATAAATGGAAGTCTATCTTGATCAGCAATTGACCTTTAAAACTCCACAACAATTTCAATATGGTTCAAACATATTTCATATACCACTTGACTGAAAATTGAAATTAAATGTTACACATTATTGAAATCCAAAATTCAACAAAATTTTTAAATGATTTCTCTTCTTCCTAAAAGTTTGGGAGAATGACTGTTGGCAGCAAGAATCCTGTTTCCAAATCCAAGTAATTCTTTACTTGTATCATCTCTATGAACAATAACCTCTACGAAGTATAAACAATCCTTTAGATCTTCAATTGTTGTCTCAATTGCTATCACCAATTTTTCCTTTGTTTGAACCTGTAAGCCAAATCTTAAAAATTTTTATTGAAAATTTATGTTGAAAAATGAAAACTAAATCGCTTGTTTATCATCATTGACTTATGCATTTGACATTGAGAAACTAATAAAATAATTAAACAAATGGTCACTATGGCTTGAACTTGGACGACCACCAAATAAATTTATTGTACTTAAAACATTTTTTTTAGCTTTTCAAGATAAAAATTCATCGAATAACGAAGACATGTTTTGCAAAAATGGTACTTATGTTTTACCTTGGCAGTCCAACCCATTTTCCATCATGATTGCGCATGGCGTGTATGAGCGCAGTGTACTCCAATTCTTGACGATATTATAAGTATCGTCGTGAAGCTCTACTTTAATGGTGCACCATTGTTTATAAAAAAAAAATATTATGTTTCTTTACTCCATCCTTAACATCGTTGACACATCTAGTGGACCCATCCGTACAATAAAAAGTTTGTTACTATTAAAAGTTTAAAGATCAAAAGAATAAAATAAGAAATTCAAAATAGAATAAGCTTGACCTGAAAGCTCCCGTCACTAATGCAAAGAACCACTCGCCCCTCCGATGCAGTTGGTGCATATCCGAGAGTTGTACCTAGAGACCATCCAATAGATGCATATTGTAATTGCAACTCGTACCTACATTTATTCCGTATAATCTCATAACTATCTTTGGATTTAATAAGTCAATGTTGTTAATAATATTGTAACTTCAATGTTTATTTAGTACATTTATTAGGCATTCTCTTGTGTGACATTGTTTTTTTCGGTTTTAAATTTTTGTTTTAGTTGAAAAGGTAGTGATTCTAAACTCCAACATTTTTTATCGAGAGGATATATCTTTAACCCATTGAAGTATCCTTAAATTAGGGTCGAATTATAAAAATATATAGGGTAAAATACACTTTTAGTTCCTGAATTTGAGGATATGTGTCTATTAATCCCAGTTTCAAGAAGGGACCGTTAACTAATGGAAAAGATACATGACAATTCCTAATAAGAGGGAAGGAGGAAGAAGAGAGAAAAAAATAAAAAGGAAGAAAGATGAAGATGCCAACTCATCATCTAATCACCAAAAAAATATATATAATATTTATATAATTTGCCATGTCAACATTCCTAGTAAGAAATTATTTGTTATTTAGTCAATTGACGGTCAAATTAATTTCAGGGACCAAACTATCACTTTTCGAAACTTAGAAACTAAATAGACACATACCCTCAAACTCAGGGACTAAAAGTGTATTTTATCCAAATATATATATAGGTGGAAGTAATATTTTTTGTTTTATTTATCTCTTTTTAAGTTCAATAAACAATTAATTGGTGTATTATCTAATAAATTATATTTAAATTTGTAAGCGAATGAATGTAGTATTTATGAGTTTAGATTTTAAAAGTAAAAAGCTAAAAATAAAATAGTTATGAGCCGTAATGAATTTTAAATGATCATTAATTTAGTTGGGCTATTTTTTAAATAACTCTTAGCTCTCCTTTGCACCAACGCAAGCAAGGAAGGAAACCTCCCTCACTTCCCACGTTAAGTACTAAAAAGAAAAACTTCCCCTTAAAATACTTAAATAAACTCTAAATATAAAAACTCTTTCACATTTAATCCTTCAAATCCCCGCTACTCTGGGATTATGTTAAAAAAATAATAATAACCATTAAGTATTTTCATATATGCGTGCAAAAATGTAATTAAGGTTAGACTCGAAATTCAGTCCATTAAAATTTTATGATCATATTTATTTAATCTTTATACTCAAAATTTTAATTGCGTTTATAAACTTTAGAATTATAATCTTATATACGTAGTATTTGCATTGTGGAGGAAATAACGTTGAATTTCAAAGAAGTTAAGTTTTATCCAAGCTTAACTTAAGTTGTTTTATAACACATTTACTAAGTTCTGTTTACATTAGTAATTTATTATTTGACTTTGCAAAATTAATAATAAGTTCCTAACCATTAATTCAACTGGGCCAGTTAATGAATTTGTGTACTCTCTTTGGCCATTTACGCCAGCTAGTGACACTTGCGCTAGATTATTTGTGGTAATTAATTTTTAACAGAATGATTTTTTTTTTTTTTGAGGAATTTGACATAATGGTGTTAATTACACATATAGCCATCAACTAATTACCTTGGTTTATTGACAAGATTATAAAAGTCAAACGTAAACTATATATGAAGTTAACAATGAAGTAAAATTTTTTTTAAAAAAACAAAAAAACAATGAAGTAAAATTGTAAAAATTGGAAATAAGGAAAAGAAATATATCTCTTTTTTTTTCTTGCATTTATGTTCTTCTTTTTTTCTTCTTTCTTGCGGCTATTTTTGTTTATTTAAGTTTCTTGGACTCTAAAAACTTAACAAAATTCAGAAGAAAATTGGTAAAATTGTTTCTCTTTTCTCTTTTAACATCCTTATAATTAGTACCCACTTAAACTCCGAAGAACAAGAGATTTTTTTATATATATATTATTAAAAATAAAACTATGTTTTAAAATATTCTAAATCAAAACTAATTTAAAAAATAATGTTGTTTTAAATGTCTTGGTCTCTAGACGACATGTGATCAATTTTCTATTAAATCTGTAGCATGTATGATTTAATCTAATCATAATTAGCATGTATGATTTTTTATTAAAACTATGTTTTATAATTAGCATGTATGATTTAACGTGGGGAAGAATTTTCTTTTTAGACAAATTTAATCTTGATTTTTTTTGTATAATACCTAAACTATCCTTTTATTAATTAAAAAAAATTAATAAAAACTCATCTACCGACTTTGTACACCTAACACCCAAAAATAGAAAAAAAAAAAACTTTTCAACATCCTTATAATTAACACCCACTTAAATATCCCTCAACACCCACTCTATTAAATAGTAATAACTTATTAAGACTAAATAAAAAAAAAACTTTTTATTAAGGACTTTTCGTCCTTCTCAAAATTTTAAATATATGTAATTTTCATTTTCTCACATTTTACTATATATATATGGATAGTTTTAAGTTTTTCAATATCATT